GGGGGGCAAATATAAGGGTATCACGCTGACAGTGGTTATAATGATAATACCATTTTTTTAATTAAAAAAAGGAACCCGACTTGCTCTAATGATGCAGAACCTGCACCGTCATGTCACTAATCAGTAGCCAGTCAGTAAGTCAGCACAATCTTCTCAGTTGGTTGTGCAAACAGAAACAAGGTTCTTTTCAACGCAAACAAACATACATACTGTACTGTGAGCAAATTGTACACGAGCGTGCACTCACAAAAACACACGTGCCCACGCACGCAAACAAACAAACAAACAAACAAATACGCACACACACAGGCTCTCACAAACATTGATGGAAAGGGGATATAAAGGTGTGTTCGGGGTAAGGAGAATGTCGCCATCTCCCCCCCCCCCCTTTTTTTTCCCCAGCCATTCCACGGACACAAAAGGACAATACAAACCTCATAGAATCATGAGCTTTTCTGACGTAATAAAAATACCAGTTTATATTAACAATGGAATTCGCTTCTGCTCATAATCCAACCAGAGAGCCCTAGAAAGTATCAGGCCAGACAGTGAAGGGGTTAACTAGAATTTGTCAAACTATGCACTTCCATCTTAGAAACATTGGCAGAATAAGGAAATTTATTGATGAAAATACCCCGAAAATTCTTGTTCATGCTTTTATTTTAAGTCCCCTTGATTATTGTAATTCCTTTCTCTTTGGCATTCCAGATTCTACTCTTGCCAGATTTCAAAAAATTCAAAACAGGGTCAGCAAGACTTGTAACTTTGAGAAAAATTCCAGACAATGCCCATGATATTTTGAAAACCCTCCATTGGTTGCCTGTGAGAGAGCGCATTGAATTTTTTAAAAAATTGTGCATGGTTTGTTACATCAGTGCTCACCAAATTAGCTTTCAGAACTAAAGGAAATGTTCGCACCATCTCGTAATTTAAGAACTTCGAATGACCATCAGCTTTGCATGCCTAGGTCCAGAACAATGTTGGGTGAAAAGGCCTTTTCCATCTGTGCCCCAAAACTTTGGAAC